ACTGATACAGCTCAGAAAAAGACGTTTAAAGGGGGATAGAAATGATTATAACATTGAGTAAAAACTTGAATTTTCTTTATTTCTAGTTGTATTTCTTTGCTGTGCTTATTTTTTATAGACACAATTAGAGATAAATGTTGCCATCTATCTGCTTGCTAGAAGAGGATTTTTCTTTTCTTTTTTTTTTTATTCCAAATACTGGCTACATGTTGAGATCCCCAGACAAAGGACTCTAGTTTCTCTTGGGGGAAAAAAACCAGCCCAAACAAATAACAAAACAAGGTCATGGCCTTTGCAATATGTGCTTAATAGATTGTTCATTCAGTGACATCAAATGAATTTCACTGTATTAAACTAGCAGCTTCAGGAGCACAGAATTATCTTTATATCTCACCTCTCGATGCTGTTGTCGTATAGATAGGCAAGTCTTTAGCAGCTCTTCTCAAAATCTCCTGTTGGGATTCTGGTCTCTCTTCTTTTTCATATTGTTCTTTATCAGCTTTTGACAAGCAAAACTAGGAGGGAGGGAGAAAATGGAATGAAGGGAAGAGATTAACTATTACTTTGTGTTCTAGTCAAGCTCCAAGGAAAAGACCCTATGTATCTTAATCCTATGCTTTTGGAAGCCCCCACCCACTGACCCAAAAAACCCCACAAAGAAAAACAGAATGCTACAGGAATTACAGGAGATCCTCAAAACTCCATGACAGTCCTGGGCATATTTTAAAGAAAATAATCTTTTATCTCTGTTCCATTATCTATGGCATTTTCCCTTCAACACAAAGGAAGCCAGAGACTCGGGAGTTTTAAGAAGGCATAACCTTTCCTTTATGCTTATCAGGAGTTAAATTTAAGTGATCTGTGACCAAGAGGAAGGTGCAACAGTCCTTTGCTGCTACAGGGCAACTAAAGTTCTCTTATCCCACTTCGTCTCTCTGACTTACAGAGGGGTACAAGCTGGGGGGGGTGTGGTGTGTGTGTGAAGGGGGTGCGGCTTCATGGCTTCAGCTCAGAAGTTGAAAGAGTTTAACTGGAATTTTTGCTTGGGAGTAGTCAGCACTAGTCTCAAAATCCATGAGCTGTACTGAAAGCAACTTCAGCAAAGCCTGTACAATTTCAGAGAGAGTTACAATTCTGAGTAAAGCATGAGGAGCATTCATGTTGAAGCCTCACTGAAATGTAAAGCTTTACCAGAAGAACCTGGAGAGCTTTTACTCACTTGTGAAACACTTAGTTTGGTATCCACTGAAATGAGCTTTACCATTAAGCCCCACAAACACCCAGTGTGCTGACAAGCCCCTGCAGAGTTGGGGCTGAACTCACTATTTCCTTTGGTATTTTTCTGTTCTGAAGCACTTTTAAACTCTGAGATTCCCGCATGGGCTACAAGAGCCCCTTTTATGAGCACACATAGACAAAGTATTCATGGTAACAAGTGGAAAATGCTGTGTGTGCAACTGGAACAAAAATTGGCTTAGCATGGTTTAATATGACCATATTTTCCTACCAAGAACATGTATATGATTATTTCACATGGATTTTCCTTTCATCCTGTAGTTTTTCCTCTTTTGGATTACATTGTGGCTTGCCAACTGACTGAAGACTCCACTTACAGAAAGGAGGAAGCAGTAAGACATTGCTGCAATTTCTCTGCGCTATTTCCCAACCCAGAATGCAAATAAGTTGCCTCATATCTCACAGAATCTAGTTAAGTCTCCTGTTACATTTAGTGTCATCCCAGTTACTGAGCCTACCCACCATTCAAGGGTGAAACATGAAACATAATCCCCTTTTAAATAATCAGAAACTAGGATCAATCTATGCGAAGAGTGAAATTAAAGTTTAACATTTCAGTCATCACCAAGAGTTTGACCTTATTTTTTAATATTCATCTCTAAACTAGATATTTACTCAAATATGGAAACTGGAGACGCTCACATAAAAAGTTTAAGACAGATACGAAACATCATGCCAGCAAACAGCAGTGCAATATGCCTTCCTCCCTATTGCCCTTGTGAGTCTGCTAGGTGACCCAATGCCTGTCTCCATGACCTGCAATCAAGCAGAGGTGGCATTAAACATGAAATACTACTTCTAGATGACATTTCTATGGCAAACCATTAATGCACAGAAAAGGAACGAAGTCACAAGATTTAAAACCTTTTTAATTTGTCCAAGTAACATCATAATATTACTCCAAAAATTCTGCATAGGATTTTGGTTTTCCGAACAGCTATATTTCTGTTCTAAATTCAGAAATTAATAGGGCCATGAGACCACAGTCTCTTTGGACAATGGCAGGATATGTTCAAAGACATCAAAAGTTGTCTGTTACCACATAGCTAACAGAATTTCCAATGAGGTTCCAGCAGTTCTTATTGAAAACAGAAAGAGTCCCTTTGTTTCCTTCCTCTTTCTGGATCTTGTACAATGTTGATTGTTCTTTCTTATGACAAATGTACAGGGATTACACTAAGACAACAGCAGCTGCAGAATATTTTTTAGTTCAATAGTAAGATCACAGGATGCTATTTGTTTTGCAAGAATGGCTAATTTGAATGACTAAAAATATATACGTTTACACTCTCATACAACGGGGAGATTCTGAAGTCAGGTTTTGTTTTTAAGTAAAACCAGCATAAATTACTCACTGGTACATGAACAGAAGGGACTTGCCCAGAGAGACAAAAAGTGGCGATGTTTTTTTTTTTTTTTGGTTGGTTTTTGGTGTTTTTTGTTGTTGTTGTGGGTTGGGTTTTTTCCCTTTTTTTCTTTTTAAAGCTAGCTGTAGAAGAAAACTGTATTAAATCTGATCTACCCCCATACTTGATATAGGAAATATTCATTACATGCCATATGCCCAAACCATCCCTTTTACTCACTGAATATGAAAAGCTTGCTACAACATTACTGTAACGACAGGTAAGTACTGCCAGAAGAGGTTTTCTATTATTGAAGAATCCAAGCAGACAGTAAAAGTTACTAGGCATTAGCTTTATGAGCAGCTGTAGTTCATACAGCTTTACAAAACCTGGAATAACATGGTTCCAACCACATTTTAATTAGTTAACCTGCTTAATGTTATCATTTTCCTGCAGAACCATCCCAGATAAAGCTGAAACAAACCACCCTGAAGACAAGTCCCTTTGAATCTTTAGGTTTAACAATTCAGTACCACTCTTTTTGCTTAGCTAAACAGCAGAATAGTCTTTAGCTTTTTTCACTTTATATTCTGTAGCTTTCTAAGATACAGATCTCTAAGCCATAATTAAGCACTGCAGAGCAGTGTTTGCTTTTCCTTAGAAGCATGGTTTTAACTCTTTTAAAAAAATGTTTAAGGTTGACATTAGCACTGAAAGTCAGTCTTGCCAAAAATAGAATAAAAATTCAACCCCCATAGAGTAACCAAAACCTCAAACAGTTCAGCCAATTTAAAAGCTTTATAAAACCAGGGAAGGGAAGTATTTTAAATTTGGTGCCAGTATTTAATCCTTACATACACACACACACCTTAGAGAAAATAGAAAACAAAGTAATCCATCTCAGACTTATTGCAATTAATACTGTTCTTTTTCTAAACAAAATGTCTTACAGTCATCATGCATTCTTTTGCCATTATGTAAAGCTCCTTTATGTATTTACTTCTCAATTGTCACTAAACCTTAACCCTTGACTTACTACTAAGTGGTTCAGTCCTCCGGGTTATGAGTATACATTGCATTACTACTTTTTCTTACCCAAACAAAGGTCAAAACTGCCTAAAATGGAAATATAAAAATGTTGTCACTATATTTGATTTATTGGTTTTAAAAATTCCAAGTTTCAAGCAAGCTACTTCATAGCAAAGCACTGTGCATGACTGTCAAATTTGTGATGAATTAAATGCGCATTTCATATAAGGAAATGTCATTACACAAAGTATACAGTATTTTAAGAGTAATTTGATAATTTTCATTCATGGTACACTGTCATGCTGTTCTATTTTAGATAATGAGAAGCAAAAGGTGAATCATGCAGTACTGCAAACAAGTTTCATCACTGAAAACAGTTCAGCTATTTATAAAAAAGGCACTGACGTTTTTCTAACATTATATTTACCTCATTAGAGGGGGATGCAGGAGATGTGAAAATTGTCTTCCAATAGGACCATACAAACATGACAAATGACAGATGAAAAACCACAAGGTAGACAACTGCAATAAAATACAAATAAGAGTTCGGTGAATATAGCTGAAAAGAACAAGAAATAAAATCCCTGATCTTTGATGAGGGCTAAACTACTACACTATGAATCACCTGATAAAATTAAGTTATATTAAATCCTCTTCCCTGGGTGTGCTCACTTTAAAAAAAAAAAAAAAAAACAACAAAAATCACCAAATGTGATGGTTGCTATTCCTCAAGGAAATAAAGGGAGGATAGATTTTTAGACTAGATATAAGGAAGAAATAAGAAAGAACTAGATATAAGGAAGAAATAAGAAAGAACTAGATATAAGGAAGAAAGTTTTTACGCTGAGGGTGATGAAACACTGGCACAGGTTGCCCAGAGAGGTGGTGGGTGCCCCATCCCTGGCAACATTCAAGGTCAGGTTGGACGGGGCTCTGAGCGACCTGATCTAGTTGAAGATGTCCCTGCTCATTGCAGGGGGGTTGGACTAGATGACCTTTAGGGGTCCCTTCCAACCCAAACTATTCTATGATTCTATAATATACTTTTATGTAAGATTCCAAAACAGACTTTGAAGGGAAAAAAAACCAAACAAAAACCCCAGAACTGAACACAGCTTCACCTGTGGCATGCGACTAACCTTTTTTGGATAAAGAAGATGCTACAATTCCATTCTAGATTAAAGTATTTGATAACTGACCTACAGAATTCAGTTTAATTTCTACTTCTAATAGAACAGCACAGTATTGTGCCATTGTAGAAGGCACTGGCCATCAATGACAGTAAAAACTCCAAACCAGGGCCTTGGAGAGGACTGCACTCCAAGGTGAGAGCTGTCTGTGAGTTAAAAATTGTCTGGGTATCTTCTTTCACGTCATCACAGGAATATAATCTGGAAGAGTCCTGCTATTATAGTCATAGTGGCAACAAAATGTAGGTGGCTTTAGTAGGGAGCTCAATCAATTTATGAATGGGTCTGTGTGTGATATGGTTGCCTTAAAGACCAGAGACCCAGACCTTATGACCCAGGAAGCTTCTTCCAATCTTGTTTCCTCTAACAGTTTCTTTTACCACTTGTCAAGAGGAAACAGATCAGTTGTGCCAGAACAGCAAGCCTTAGAAAGGAAGTCATACTAAATATTTACATTATCTTCACTTATATTATCTTCAGTTGCAGGAAGAAGGAAACTTGACCTACTTTCCTGTGCACATAAAGAGAGTCCTTTAAGAAGCCATATGACATACTTCATGGATGGCAGAACAGGCTTGAAACTTGGGGAACTTCCAACAGCTCAGAAAACGCATGTGCACATAATTTATCATCTTTCAGGATTTTCATTGCTTGTTACAGTAAAAAACCCAAACAAATGGTATTTGAGCTTTCTTCAGAGAATTATGCTTTTTACCTTTGCCTCCAACTCCTCCAAACTCACAGACAGATTTGGCAAATTTTCAGCTGTGGAGCTGACTTAAAATGCAAGAAGCAAAACCTTTTTCTAAAGCCATCCTAAAACTGTCATCCTGATAGGAAAGAACTAGTGTATCACTGTACTAGGCACTGCATAATTAGAAATGGTCTTTTATTAAAAACATACTATACACATTCAAACATAATGTGGTTAAGCAATTAAAGCATGAGAAAATGGTTCGGAAAAGAGGAGAAACAGACACAAAATTGGAGTGGAATCAGCTGCAAAGATCAGAGCTTTGAGAGAGAAGAGGGTGAGAGAAGTTGAATAGAAGGAAAGAGGAAGTGAGATACAGGGGAGGGCAAGGCACAGCAAAACTAACTTACACAGTAAACAGTTCTATTCTGTCCGTAAAAATCACCCCCACAATTCAAATTCTTTTGAAGGATTATTTTTAGTGCACACACAATACTTCAAATAGCAGAATCTCAAAGTCTTGTCAAAGGCTGCAAATGCCCCAACAACACACAGAATAACAGGCACCGAGGCTGGCTGCAGCAAGGGTACAGATCTGTGCCAGTGCTACCGGTGTTTACTAGAAAGAGGCAGCGTTAAAGTGCTCTTGCTCTCTTGTAATAACTGAGATCTTGCAATCTGTCACCATCATTAAAAACCAAGGACCTGTCCTCAGCAGCCAAACTGGGGCAACTCAAGGAAGAGCAAGTCTTTCACAGCTGTTCCAGTGATGGGCACCACCCAGTCTAGAGGAGAAAGCCTGCAATCGGCAGTCCATAATGGCCCCACACTGAATAAATTCTTACTTCTTTTTCCACTCCCATGCTGCCATTCCTACTGCGATTACAGGTATCTGTCCTGTCAGTGCTCCTAGAAAAATGAGACGGAGGGAAGATACCATTTTTGACGGCTTTACTTTGGCAGTCCGTCTACCCACCATTTTGGGTAGCAGTATGTCCTCTGCAGACTACTCTCTGAAGCATCTTGCATCAGTTTCCAGTACAAATATAAACCAGCTTCATTCCTATTCAGCTCATTTTCTTGTAATTACAAGCTAGATGGAAAATACGTCAAAAACCTCAAACCCCAATATCTGCCAGTTTAGCCAGACTCAGAGTCATGAGGAAGTCCTGGCTAGGCTAAGGGAATCCAGGATTCTTGGTGCTATGCTGTGATCAAGTGAAGTCACTTCTCTTTAAAGGCACTGATGCATATTAGACCATAATTTATGCCCTCAGGAGCACAATGTCTTAAGACATGCTTTTAACATCCTCCTAAAATATGCTAAGCCCTCCTAAGATTTGCCCTTAACATCCTTTTCTGAATCATTCTTAACACTACCTCCAAGACAGAGTCAGATTACAGAGAGGTAATAATATATAACAGAAATATATTATATTGTTAAGAGAGATTCAGAGTTGACTTTATTCCCCTATCCTAATGGATATAAATCTAGACAAGAAATATGAAATTACAAATAGCCTTAATGGGGTGAAGAAATCGCCACTAATTTAATCAAAAGTTGTAATTAAGTACTGGAGTAAAAGGATTTGAACACAGTACATTGAAATATGGAGCAAAATATATTTGCTAAGATGCACATTATTGATTTACATAGCAATGTTACTGGTACTTTGGCCTTTTGACTCTTCTGATGTTATTTCCTGGCTGCTGTGAACTAGCTTATAAGAACTTTATAAAACTTATGATAGCTTTCATTTCAAATGAAAAAAGACTTCACATCTCATTTTAAGATCAACCTCCACAGTGAAGAAATTCATGCATGCAAGATGCCTGTGACATGCTTTAGAATTGAAGGTGCAAAAAGCATGCAGGTGACAGCTATTAAAAGCCTAACAGTCAGGTTCCAACTATACTGTCAGTCTCATTAATCAATCAAGTATTTCTCTTCTTTAGTAGATTTAAGAGCACCTGCTTCAGTCAGACAGGCACCACATTTGTATTAAAGCCAGAGATCTGACTATGCAACACCAACATCATTGCTCTGCCAGGCTTCCTTAACTGAGACGTGGATCTTGCCTTTCTGGAAGAAACTAGAAAGTAAAACTTATTCACATACCGGTCAACATTAAAGCACAGCAGCAATCTGCAGAATTTTGTGAAGTCTAGGTGAAGCCCAGCTGTGCAATGTGATGTAAAAACCCAGGGTAAGATACAGCTCCCATCTTGAACGACTTACAGTTTATTTTGGAGGTTTTCCCATTCTTTCACCTCTTCATTAGAAGATGAAAGAAGACAGATTCCATCAAGGTTCCTTCCTCTCACAGTGTTCTCCTGGATGTTCCCAACCAGGAAGAAAACTGCTAGATTAGTTTCAAATTCTGTGCTCTTTTGCAAAAATATTTAAGAGAGGAGAGCCTCTTACCCGTGGTCTCACTCTCTGAAGACAGCCCTCTGTGGATAGTCAAAATGCAAATCTATGCTTAATCTACCACTCATGTTCCCCCATAAGCTGAAATAACTCCCAAACAAAGATCCCATCAATCATTTGTATTTTTACAGAAAAAAAAAGTTTTATAAAAAACCCCTTTATTTTGAACTTCTGGATTTGAATCATCCTTTAGACTAGCTTTTGTTCACAACTAAAAGAAGTGGCAGAGCAAGAATGCTGGAATTTTTTTTGAGTACTACCCACTGTGGCATATACTTGCCAAAGCAAATACGAAGACTTAAGTAAAGTTTTGCAAAACAAGGCCTTAACCACTTGACCTGGAAATTTAAAATTATAATGTGCAGCCACCTTTGAAATGATTGTGTTTTGCACAGTTCTAACCAGTACTAAAGAATAGAGTTCTGAAGAATTTGGTAAGCTGTTTGGAAAATAGCAAGCAGTAGAACAACAATTCTTCCTCTTCCAGAAGTCTTTCAGGTCACAGGGTGTGTTCAGAAATAAACAGAAAATGGACTTGTGGATCTGCTGCAGTTCCTTCTCTCTTCTCCTTTTTCTGTTCTTAGAAGGTACCCATTTAAAAATATTTGCAAACCTAATAGTTGCGTTACTCACAGGTCTTGTCATCATCCCAAGTGTGTGGTACTAGAAGCTAAACAGACTCAACCTCACAATATTTACCTTGTTTCTTAGCACTAATCTACTCGCTACACAGAGCTTACACATAAAGGAGTACATTTAAATTCTATGTCCTTTAAGACTTGCGTGCAACAAAACTATTCACATTTTCAAAAACATTAAAAAAATTACCTTTTTCTGCAGTTGAAGAAATAGTAACTGGAAGAGAAAAAAAAAAAGATATATGGTAAGTAAATCCGTATTGAATCAGAAGTTTGGCTGGAAGTGAGATATGAGATAGCTGACTTGTTCCCAAATGTACTTCAGGTGTTAGTAAAGCCTCCCTACACCCCTCTGGGGTAAAACAGGAGTTAGTATTCCTCCTGCCAGCCCTTGAGGCTTGGTGAGTCAGTGGAAGAGCTGAAGAGATCCAGTTCCCTGCGCTAACCAAGTGAGCGCACTCCTTTTCACGGACATTAATTAGATCATAATTTATGCATGTTCCCCTTCAGATATGCACCTAGCAAAGTTTTTTGAGGCACGTCAACAACTAGGCCAACAGGTGTATCACTGGAAAGCAGAAAATGAAATGGAAGTTGTTCTTACAGAAGTCCCTGTGAAACTGTTACGTGTAACCTACTTCCCTCTCTTAGTTTTTTCCCACCACTCCTCTCTTCCCATCAAATGCTATTTTTGATTTTTTTCCCCCTGACCTGAATTCTTCAGGCATAGTTAAAACCTCTCCACTTCCTTCTCTCCTACATCCTCATCTCCTTGTATCCCAACAGCAAGTTCTGTTGTTCAAATCTATCTTGTATACTGCCTGACTAGTACATTCTCCTGCCCTCAGGCTTCTCCAAAACCTTCACACTTCATTCATCAGTTCAGGTAAGATGCTGAACAGAGAGCTGCTGTACTTATTGGGTCACTTTGTTCGTATCATTCCCCTTGCTGGATCTCTTCCTTAGACACTGAATTCCTGAAATTCAATGAGGAAAGGATATTTTCTCGACTCTTTATCTTATACAGCAAATTTAAGCTTCCGGTCATCAGCATGAGCAAAAGGTTAACAGAGCACACCCTGCCTACTGCAGTTCACCTTACTCCACATTGTCTCCTCTCTCTCAGCTCTGACATTTCGACAGGCATCAATCTGTGTGCCAGTTCAAAAGAGCTTTCTCCTGATGCACACTAGAGTCTTACATCTGCAGGGCTTCAGTATGCATTGCAGACTTCCTTCCTTCCTTCCCTTGGAAGGGTTACTTTGGTCACAGAGGTGGCATGTGTCTCACTTAACAGCAGATATCTATAGTAAAAGGGTCTGCAAATATATTATGCAACCATTCCTCTTTCTATAGTCAACAAGAGACATAAGGAGGTGATATCTATTGTATAGATGACCCCTTTTTGTTCAGATACGTGTTTTTTGTTTGGGGGTTGTTTTTTTTTTTTTCCTGTCTCCCCCTCCCCCTTCCTTAAAATATCCACTCGGCAGCCTCTATCTGTCCATGGAAGCCTCTACAAAGTTAATTGAAAAGGTTCTGGTTCCTTCCACCTCAAGAAGGAAGAATTTAGAATAGAACAAGGTTGGCTTCAAACTAAAGGAGGTCAATCCTAAAGGATAGCTTAATTTCACATTAGTTATGCATACTTGCACATCCTCCTCCCATGTGTCTGTCTGAAACAGGGACACAATCCACACAAAAAACCAGACCTGAAGCACACAATTACCTGCAAAGTATGCATGTAAATATAAAAACAGGTCCAGTTGTGTCACGATACAGTCTCAGTACTACTTCACTGCATGCTACAGAAGTTGCATTATTTTTAAAGCGAATCCTATGAGCTTTTGCTTGAAATTTTACTAATGCGTTATTTCTCCAGTTAAAGCTTTTTCAACAACACAAGGAGAAGATAAAATCATTAAAAAGGTGAAAATTAAAACAAGCTTGCTGAGTAGGGTTGTTTGCTCAACTTAAAAAAATACTGAAAGTACTTTAGATTAAGCTTTGTCTTTGGCTCTTCATATATCTTAAGTAAACACCTTTGCACACAGCTGGACAAACACAGAATCAGAGAATTATTTAGGTTGGAAAAAACCTTTAAGATCATCAAGTCCAACCGTTAACCTAACACTGCCAAGTCTACCACTAAACCATGTCCCTAAGCGCCTCATCTACACGTCTTTTAAATACCTCCAGGGATGGTGACTCAACCACTTCCCTGGGCAGCCTGGTCCAATGCTTGATAACCCTTTCGGTGAAGAAATTTTTCCTAATATCCAATCTAAACCTCCCCTGGTGCAACTTGAGGTCATTTCCTCTCGTCTTATCGCTTGTTACTTGGGAGAAGAGACCAACACCCACCTCGCTACAATCTCCTTTCAAGTAGTTGTAGAGTGCGATGAGGTCTCCCCTCAGCCTCCTCTTCTCCAGACTAAACAACCCCAGTTCCCTCAGCCGCTCCTCATAAGACTTGTTCTCCAGACCCTTCACCAGCCTCGTTGCCCTTCTCTGGACACGCTCCAGCACCTCAACGTCCTTCTTGTAGTGAGGGGCCCAAAACTGAACACAGTATTCGAGGTGCGGCCTCACCAGTGCCAAGTACGGGGGGGCAATCACTTCCCTAGTCCTGCTAGCCACACTATTTCTGATACAGGCCAGGATGCCATTGTCCTTCTTGGCCACCTGGGCACACTGCTGGCTCATGTTCAGCCGGCTGTCGACCAGCACCCCCCAGGTCCTTTTCTGCTGGGCAGCTTTCCAGCCACTCCTCCCCAAGCCTGTAGCGCTGCATGGGGTTGTTGTGGCCGAAGTGCAGGACCCGGCACTTGGCCTTGTTGAATCTCATCCAGTTGGCCTGGGCCCATCGATCCAGCCTGTCCAGGTCCCTCTGCAGAGCCTTCCTACCCTCAAGCAGATCAACAGTCCCGCCCAACTTGGTGTCGCCTGCAAACTGACTGAGGGTGCACTCGATCCCCTTGTCCAGATCATTGATAAAGATATTGAACAGAACTGGCCCCAAAACTGAGCCCTGAGGAACACCACTTTGACTGGCCGCCAACTGGATTTAACTCCATTCACCACCACTCTTTGAGCCCAGCCATACAGCCATTTTTTTACCCAGCAAAGAGTATACCTGTCCAAACCATGAGCTGCCAGCTTCTCTAGGAGAATGCTGTGGGAAACATGTTTGACACTGTTTGACACTGTTTCCCTAGACAAGAAATATAAAAAAGTTCTTAATTATCCTCTAACAGGATGGGAGAACATCATAATCTATAAAACTATGGGAAATTTTTTGTAAGTAATTCTGGTTAAAGCACTCCACAATCTGTAGCCTCATTTCTGCTTTCAGTACAAAACAAAATTGTGAGCCAAATTTGATGTTTGAAGACTCAAAATAATGAACAGCCTTTACATGCAGAAAAAAAGCTGAAGATTATATCACCTGTGAGACTTCATCAAAAAGATCCCTAAATAAACTTCATAAAAATTAATTAAAGCTTCACAGCACCAGGAAGGTAATTTTCCTCTTTTGTACCTAGGTCCCTTAGGTCAGAATGCAGTTATTAGACTGTGCAGAACAATTTTAGTTTGGCAAACTCCTGCAGTTTGAGGTAAAAGCCAACACTGAAACACTTGTGATTTTCATCCTGTCTTATCATCCTCAAATGAAATAAAAATAAAAGATGGCCAGTTCTCTTCTGCCTCAGAAATTCATGCAAGTTCAGTGTTTCTGTTTCTATCCCTTTCACTGTTGTTATTCCCATTGTCAGATAGATTAAATGAACAACAATCCTACTACTTGTCCGAATTCACTCAGCAAATGGCAAATCAACAGTTTTACAGGATCTTTATACTACAAAGCGAAGCCTTCCTTTAAATAAGTTAATGTTTAATCTTTACATAAAACAGACCTTTAAGTATTTGCTAGGCTGGCAATGTAACAAGCAGCTTTATACCATCAAGAAATCAATTCTAGCTTTTGGACTCCGGTTCAGGAAAAAACCACAGAACAAGCCATTACCATTGTGTGTCTCTGGCCTGTAAAGCTTTAAGTTACAAGCTTAGTTCTCTATTGCTTTTCTCCTTTGCTGCTTCTAACTACTTAGATGTTGCTATCAGCTTCAGCTAAATTAATAGCATTTTCACTTTAAACATTTGTAAAACATGGTTTCTTGTTTGGGGGTTGGGATGGGGGAAAAAGCAGCGCTGCCTTTTTGCTTACTGATATTTTTTTAACAAAATAAGCACTGTATATGATTTATATGTTAACCTCAGGATGCAACAGCACTACACAGTAGACTAGATGCATCAGCACAAGTTAGTGCCTTCAGCACTGCAGTCAACACAAACCTGTCCGTATTTCAGAAACGAAAGCATTGTTCTTTTGAGGATTTTAAAATATATCCCCGTATCAGTCTATTGCTCAGCTACAAAAGGAAAAATAAGAGCAAAAATATTCTTAGGATTGGCTTCTTAATATTAAGTTTCTAATTTCTCGATCACACAAAGTTCTAGCAAGATGTTGCTAGGGAAGGATAAAAAAATATGACTAGACAGTGAAAGCTGCAGTTCACTTCACTGCAAAGAGCTTAGAAGCAGGCACTCGCATGCTCATGCACACAGTGAGTTTCCACAATGGTCTCATAATTTCAAAGGATTCAACGCCTCAGTGTTACAGCACTGAGCAAGTCAAACAAAGTGAACGAGCCCTGTCTGACTGACTGCAGCGCAGAGCTTTACCTTGGCTACCTCAGGGTTTCCAAAATCAGCACGACTAAGGAAGGAGCTCAGCAAAGCCTGCCTGTGAAGAGAGGTAAATGGGCCTACACTGAACGTCATGCTGCTGCAGCTTGCCCAGGGATGTACAGGCCCAATACCCTCCGCTAGCCAGTCCTGCGCCACGAGGCAGCTTACACATTGGACCTCCCAACGCCTTGGGGTCACTGCAATATGAAGCACACAAAACTAAGTATGTGGTTTCACTTTCTACAGAATAATACCTCAAAAATACATGATACAGCCTTTTATTAGGCTGGATTCAACTTGTTCAGCTTAGAGGACAAGCAGAAATTCCAGGTTTGACTTTAACAGAGGAAAAAGTTGTCTTAGTTTTGATTTAGACACCTAGTATCACCCCTGGCAACAAAGACACTTTTTCCTTCATGACCCCAGTTGTTTGTTAAACCTCTTTCTAGACACTCTTCC